TTGGCAGCACATGGTTGCTCCTGCTTGGTATTCACGGGCACATTCCTCTGCCTGATGATATATTATTATTGGACTGGAAGAAAAATAATGCAACCAAGCTCTTATTATTTTCTCCTTTTATCTGTTTAGTCATATTAATGTGGGATCATAGTTCCATAAATGAGCAGGAGATGCAGTCAAGGACGTTCATTTTTAAAGTTCTCCAATGCTCTTGTACTTCAGTCATTCATCTTCTGTCTTTAATTACAGCAAGTGATCTCAGAGGCACTTAAAAGATTAAATTACTCAATTATTTGAAAAACCCAAATGTAATAACTGTATCTTTTTGCTGATAAATACCAGCCATTGCTGGAAATGGTTGCCCAAGGCAAAACATATTGGGAGGCCAAGGAGGCCATATTGTAACATTTTGTCTTAACCCAGTGATGCCCTTTTAATTTTTCATCACTTGCAACCTTTACTTTTATTTGCATTGATAAAAACCACAAACTTTTGCATCACTGTCCTGGTGGTTTCAGCAGTGCGATGAATGTCACTGCCCAACATTTATGAGTGTCCTGGCACCTCCTTGGTGTGTGGAGAGAAGGACACGAGGATAACCATAAGTTAAAAAGGCATCATCAGCATGGCCAGGCAGTGAACCCCATCCAAGGCAATGCTTGTGGATGGGGGATGGTTCAGTGTTTGGGAAGGGGATGTAATTAAAACACAGGTGGTGGGGAAGGGGAATGTAATTAAAACACAAGTGGTGGCTCTCTCTATGATGAGGTGGGTGGATTCCCTGTTGGCAAAGTTGAGCATCCATGCTGTGATAGCGGGCAGGTTGGCTTGGACTCCCCAGCCTTGTAGGAAAGATGGACAAAAACTTGCTCTGAGATGGTGTTCTGGGTGTCTCATGGCCCCAGAGGGAGCTGTTGATGTGCCCTGCTTGTCGGCGTTGCTGCCAATACTGTGTCAGTGCATCTGCAGCAGCAGAGTTTGTCCTTCCTGACCAGCAGCCCCATTGCTCACTGGAGACCCCAATGTACAGCCACTGAACATAGGGAAGTTCCCCCTAAACAATTTTTTTTTTCCATCTCTTGCAAAGCAACAGATGGGGCTGAGCCAGTTTTGGAGCCTGGCTAAGGTGCTTGTGATCTGTCCTCCTTGGGCTAGGAGAAAAGCAACATGACTCTTCAGGGGAAAGAGAAATCGAGGGTAAAGAGTTAAAATCCTGTACTTTCTCTTCATAGGTCCAATTCTGAGTTCCTGTCTCACTGGGCTCCAGACAACACTGGGCAAAATACCAGAGCAGTGATGAAGTGCTTTACACTTTGGTCATGGTAGGCTCCTTTCTCGTGCTGGTTGGCCAGCAGTGAGGCACAGGGCTGGGGTTTTGGTGTTGATGAAAGCTTCCTGCTTTGGACTATCCTCATGGTAAGTCTCTAAACTTAAAGAGGCAAAAAAGGGAGGCAAAAAAGGACTCTGTTGTCAAGCCAGACCAGCTGTGGTGTTTTGTGTCCTGCTGTGATGAGCAAGCCTGGCTGGTATTAGCAGGGAGCAGTGGGGTGGCCACGTGGGCTGGCAGAACTTGGGTGGGTCTGGGGGTCAGGCTGCCCTCAGCCAGCATCTGTCCCACACACGTGGTGGGGCACTGCTGGCCCACAGATGCTGCTGCTGAGAGGGTTACTGTCCTCTGCTCCACCACCTGTGGTTCCCATGTTTATTTAATTTAAAAAAAAAAAGAAAAAAAAAAGGAAAAAAACAAAAGAGTATGTAATTCAATACACATCCATCCTTTCAAGGAACAGCAGTCATTCCAGCAAGGAGCAGGCCAGTGGTCTGGGGAAGGACAGATGGCCCTGCAGCTAATTTGCTCCCATAAATCTGTTGCAAATCCTCCCTGCAGTAAATGCTGGCTCTGTGTTTGTGAACATGTGTCTATCTTGGGGCTGCTATGAGCAGGAGATAGAGCAGAGTCTGTAATTTCAGGCTGTATTTCCCTTATGTGTTTTGCAGAATTGACCATTTTGGTTAAGAAATAAGTTGTAATCCTGTAGCTGGCTGCCAGCAGATCTCCATGCAACTGCTCTTGCAGCAGAGCCAGGTATTCTCTTGTCGAAGCTCCAGCATAGCCAGGAGCTCATCCTGTCCCCTTGCAAACTGCTGCTAAGGACCTGCACACTGCCGTTCAAGTCTCTGCTCAAGGCAGAGAGCATTTCACTGCCTTTAGCCTCTCCATCTTGCAGGATTCTCATCCCTGGGAGAGGATCAAAAGCCCCAGTTTGGCATTGCAATGGGACTGAGGCTTATGGTTGTTTTAGTGTGCTGGCCTTCCTGAAGAGAAGCAGAGAGACTCCTCACCCCAGAGTTTTGTCCCTACTGTGGGACACAGGACATTCTGTACTCAAGCCCTGGCAGGCTGGCCAGCCCTGCTGCAGCTGGAACTGGGACCACCTGGCCATGGCCACCCTGCCCTAAAGGCTGTGTCCTCCTGTGCATCCTGGGCTGCATTAGCAGGTGCAGGCTGGAGCCCAGCCTGCAGGCAGGCGTGCAGGGACTGAGTGGGACAGAGGTCATGCTGTGCTCAAGGACTGGGCTCAGGCAGTGGAAAAGAACTACCTGTGGGAGGTCAGTACTAAGGTATTGGGATACAGATCCTTGTTTCAGAGTCGAAGGCGTGGAAGCAGCTAAGTGTCCAGGTTACTTTTTGTGCAAGAGATGCTGATCTCTGTCAGAGACATAGAGGCCCTGTTGTCTTGGACCTGCTGTGGGGTTAGGGAGGTGTGAGACCTCCTGAACATCAGCCTATGTAGGATAGGCAAGTAGTTCTCTGCATTGTTGTGACATTTTCTCTCGTTTACTCATTAACCAAGACCCGCTGCTCTGGCCTGCATTTGCCCTTGAGTTCCACACGTCCTTGTGTTTGCTGAGCAGTCTTGCACAATGGAGCAGGGCAGTCTGCAGTTGCACAGTGTGTTCTGCTCTGCATCCATTGCTGCTCTGGATGACTTGTTGGCTTTCTACATTGTATTTCTGAGTGGCCCAGTGTATTGAGGGTCACAATTTAAAAATGTACATTTTAGAAAAATCCAAACAGCTACCATGTTGCAAGTGTGTGGCTTGATGCCTTGTATTCCTGGTCGTGTCACACACTAATGTGTAACTGCATAGTAACAATAGTCTGCCTGGTCTAGCACCCATCTAAATGAAGCCCAGGTGCAGCCGTGGCTGACACACATAGGGCAAGGAGACCGTGACATGATCATGCTGAATTCCCATGAGACTGTGAGTGGGTCATGCTGCTTTCTGTTTGGCAAGGTCTGTGTTCACTCCCCAGCATTTTCTCATCACAACTGAGCTGGAGCAGCAGTATGTGTTTTCATCCTCTCCTATCTGATTGGAAGGCTCCAGCAATCTTCTGGATATTTATTCCAATATTTTCACCTCACAGTCATCCCAGGGTGCTCAGCCTGTGCTCTTATCTAACAACTACTAGCCATTTCAGAGAGCAACCTCTCAGGCCTGCCAAAATCCTCTGAGGGTGACACCGATTCTGCAGTGTAAATGCATCAAGCAGAGGGATTGCCCTGCTGGTGACTCCTGTAAGGTGTTGTAGAGAGGATGGGCACCCAAGAATTCAACACTACAAAGTCTGTGCATACCAGTAGCTGAAACATCAGTGATCCTAAGGTTAAGACAACCTCATTGCCCTGACATTGCTGCAGGTGGGTGGGAGGGATAAATGGGAATGAGAGCATGACATGCAGTGTTTTTTTGCAAGAAAGGATGGACTTACACAGCTGACCATTTCTGCCATGGTAGAAAATTGGAAAAAAATTCTTCCTTTCAATTCAAATTTTAATACAGAGCTTTCTCTGAATGGTGGGACATAAAGGATTATCCCCTCTTAGATGGTCTCTCATAGCTGACTCTGCTCAGCACTCTGTTTTCTGAGACTCTGCTTCTTTTAGTAAGTCAAGAGAGAGTTGGAGGGATAGGTACATGACCTGCTTACAGCAGCAATAGAGCTCATTTTCTTTTGCAGTGCTTTGCTTTGGATTCAGTATGGAAATAATATGGGTAATACACTGATGTTTTGGCTATTGTTAAGTTGTTCTCACCCTAAGTCAAGGGCTTTTCAGTTTCCCATGCTCTGCCAGTCAGGAGCTGCACAAGAAGCTGAGAGCGAGCATGGGCAGGACAGCTGACCCAAATTGGTCAAAGGGATATTCCATACTATAGAACATCATGACCAGTATATTAACTGGGGGAGTTGGCTTGGGGGGCAATTGCTGTTCAGGGATGGCTGGGCATTGGTCACTAGTGGTGAGCAAACTGTACTGTACATCATTTGAGTTTCTTGGATTTTATTCCTCTCTTTTTTATCCCCTTGTTGTTGTGAATAATAGCAATAATAATAATAATAATAACAATAATTATTGCTAACAACAACAATAATTTTGCTTTATTTCAATTATTAAACTATTCTTAACTCATAGGTTTTACCTTTTTCTGATTCTCTTCCCTATCTCTCCAGGTGGCAGGATAGAGAGTGTACTTAGTTGCTAGCTGGGGTTATACTACAACACACATCCAAAGGAACATTTAATGCATCCGTAGAATGTGTATGACAAACTACAGCAATCACTATCATGCCACTGCATCTTTTACTCTTTTGCAATGGCTTGATGGATTTGAGATGGCTGATGTCTGATAGTGTGAACCCAGCACTCACCCAGCTCCAGTCACTCCTGTGAACCTAGACCTAAATTATTGACAAGAACATAGATGCAGAAACACAGAATTTGGAGAACATAGTCTTTGCTGTGAAGCTCATGTATATATACAGATACTACAGCCTAAGTATAATGAACAACAATATAATTTTGAGCCTGCAGTCATTACTGAAGTCCCACACCAGAACAGTTTAGTGTATAGAGGTTGCAATAAAGAAATTGAGGGCTTAAATTCAGCATTTCTTGAGTCAATGGATAAAAAGAGAGCACAAAGGAACATGATTCTTTAGTGTATGCAAATTTATTCAACTCTGAAATTATTTATTTACAACTAATGACTGATACCAACTGATGAGGTAAAAATATGAGGTATTGATATAACATTTAAAAATGTAATTATCATAATGTATCAATGTAACAATACAAAATACTGTGGTAGTTGAATGGTAGACATGGCATAATGTGCATTTTGAAGAAATCTTATTTCAACAATACATGGCTTGGAGATGCCAAAAGCTCATGACAGAGCTTCTGCAGGGAAAACAACCCTATCTTGCTAAGGGTGGCAGATGGGCACAGGGCCTTTTCCAGCTGAGCAATGACTTGTGAGACAGGATAAAACAAATCACTGTCCAGGTTTTCCCTTATTTTCCTTAATTCATTATTTATTGCCAGACACTGCCATTCCCAGGGCTAGAAATTCTGTGCCTGTTAATGCTGAGGCGCCGCTGTATTTATGTAAACTAATGTAGCAGAAGTACTCTAATTGCTCATGTTTTGGAAAACAGCCGGCATGAAATCTGCTGCCATGGCCACAGGCATTTGGGAGAAGGTGCTGCTTTCTGGAATGGCATTCCCAGCTGGGGAGGCACTGTTTGCTCCTGGGAAGGCTGAGCCTGGGCAGTGGTGATGCCCTGCAGCCAGCGGGTGACTGCCAGACCCCACCATAGCCACATAAGGATCCTGTGAGTGCTCCCCTGTCTGCAGGACTTAAAGCTCGTGAAAGTTGCACATTGCAACTATTGTTGGCCATAAACTCGAGGCAGGAGCTCCCAGGCAGCCAACATCCCTGATCCTAGGACTTGCACAACAAAACATGAGTGACACAGCTCATGGGTGAAGATGACAGTGACTTTTTTGGAGTCCTGCTCCTTCACAAGAATATGCTGGAGCACTGTGGGTCACCTTGGGTCACCTTGTCCACCCTGAGCTCCCACAGGTGTGCTGCCTCAGCTCGCAGGGCTGTCCCCTGCCAGCATGCACGTGCAGGATGGCACGTGGGATCATGCTCTAGCAGCTGTCACCAAACACAATGGCACAGCTCCCACACCTGGGGAATGTACAAATCTCTGGCTTTGAAGGGACTTCCTGATTCATTGAATCAGGGCACAAAGCTGTAGCTTCAGATAGGAAATGCATCCTGCTTAATCAACCTCATACTAATCTTTCTGGATTTTGTTGGAAGGACTGAGCTGAAACACCGGCTGTGAGTGATTTTGCTGGTTTATGCAGCAATAAATGAATTCTAAGTGAACAAATACAATTAATGAAGAACAGTATTATCATGCTTGTACATTGTTACTGAGTCATAGATGTAATAACATTTTGGTCGTAGGTTAGTTAAAAACAAAATGGAACCCTGCCACAAAGGCAATGTTGACAAATTATTATTATTACTTTTAAAGTATTCTTCCATTAGCAAAATAATAGGTCCCTGAAAGTGAAATTGTATATTAGGCTTAAATGGCTCCTACTCCTCACAGTCCTAATCCTGTTCCCATCAATGCCTACAGAGGTGGAATCATGCAGAACAGTGCAATATAAGATGAAAATGCTTGCTGTTACTATAAAAGCAATCTTTCCAAGAATAGCATTTATTTAGTCTTTTAAATCTCCAAGATGTGTTAAAAATTTTAAAAAAGCATAGTTATTTGTATAGTAAGAATATTAAAAGGCATGGTGTTCATCTACTTGTCTTTGTTTCCACTGGATGTGGAAAACCTGCTTTGGATTAGCCATCTCTACGGGAGAAGGAAAGAACACAGAAACACTTGGAACCTAGAAAAAATGCTTACAAAAAATAATTAATTTACAGCTTAATAAGTTACCAGTCTGAATTCAGCCATCTTGGGACACACAGCATTACTTTGTGCTGTCCAAGGACGAGCTGTTACCTGGAACACTGCACACAGTGAGGTTCTCTACTGACAGACACCAGTCATTTAAGGCAACAGGTAAGTTTTCAACACCTTCTACTAAAAGTCACAATTCTGCAGCTGAACATAAATGGCCTCCACAATGACTCAGATGCATCTCCATGTATTTTATTTGGTGAGACTTATTCCCTCCTCATTATTTTTAAGTGCACTGTAACCTCCTTCTTCCTTAGGTCCTGTAATTCTTCCTACATCTATTTATAGGTACCTTCTCATAGCACACACAAACACAAAACATATTTGGGAACAGGCATTTTTTATCACACAAATTAGGCCTGGTAGCTCTGATAACAGCAAACACAGCTTATGTAGCAGTGACACACTAAGAAATAAGTGACAAGTCCACTTAAGTTCCAACTGATGCAAGTGATTTGCACTGAGTTATATACAAAATAATTAATTTATACATATACATATATATAGATAGATAGAATATAGATAAATATATACATACTGTACATTATTTATTTACAATTAAAATATGCTTCTTAGAAGCCTTTAAATACCAGAGTTATGTAACATACAAGTAATGGCAATAATCTGTTTTTAAAGTAATAAAAGCTCTCTGAAGAAATGTTTAGTTCAATGATCAAAATTAATACAGAGTTGATGTGGGGGAGGGGGGGAAGGTGAAGTCTCCAGAATAAAAGAACTTTCCTATAAAATTACTTTTTCAGCTTTGTAACCCAGGTCTGGTCAGATTTCTGCAGCTTAAATCAGACCTTTGCTTTCAGTATTCCTGTTCTCTGCCAGACCCTGATTTATGCTCACATGCTCCCAGGAACACTTAATCAGATTTTTGTTTCTGGTCCCTCAGCAATCAGAGGTTGAAATGAGTTTCTGATCCTGGCAACTTCTGCTGCACACAGATGTCCAAAACCTTTGTTGTACCACTCTGGGGAATGTCCTCTGAAGAAATGAAAAGAGAATTAGTGAGAAACTCAAATACTCAAGAAACATGCCCCACAGAAATGTGCTTGCCATGCTTCCTGCTCCACACTGCCCATGGTGGTGGTGGAGATCCAAATACTTGTCTTTTTAAGTGTACTCTGAAGTTCTCCCTTGCAGTAATCAAATAAGTAGATTCTGTTTCTAAGGTCACATTTAGCAGTGGTAGGCAGTGAGTTGAGAAAAAACTGCAGGAAAACTCTGAAGCAGCAAAGCTACCCTAACCATGCCCTCTGTTCTCAGCATCTGAGCTTGAGGGTTTTGTCCTGCTGAGTGGACAATACTTTGTGCAGGTGGGATACTTACTTTAGGTCAATCCTGCAGATGTGGGTCAGCCTGGCTTTCCCCGAGCCGCAGGGCTCTATCAAGTACTGGGAGTCCATCACGATGGCTCGCACAGCTCCCATGAGAGGAGCCTCTTCATGCTCCACAGAGATGGCAACCAGCATGCACATCCCCTTGGGCAAATCCGTCCTCCACGTCCTGCAGCAACAGATGCAAGATGGAATCACATTAGCGATGAAACTTTTGCGCACATGAGTAAGAACCAGAATTGAAGTTACAGTCTGCTTGTCTGCCTATCCTTGTTGCCTGCAATGCCAGTGGACTGTCCTAGGAATTCCTGGTGGAGTTTCATGGCCATGTGGAATGGCCACCCATCTCTGTGGCTCCAGGTGGAGAAATTTTGCTTCTCCACAGGAGTATTTTGTAACCATTAGTATTCTATGGCATGATAGAGCTTTTTTCAGTTGGACAAAAGTTTTGGATAGGAGAAAGAGTAAGGATAAGGCATCCAGCAAAAGCTGAAACTGTGCATTGCACCCAGGCAGGCTTACGGAACAAAAAATGCAGTTTAGTACAGCAGAAATCCTCACTAATATGAGGGTATGAGGATACCCAGAATATGTTTCAAGGTTGTCTGAATTAAAAACAAAATGTCCTTCCATTTCTTGCCTCTCCCATGTTTCTAGCCTCTCTTACATGCTGGAGACGTTTTCCACCAAGTTTAAGATTCCTAGACTTTAATACTTAACATTTTTATTTTGTCCTGTAAGCATTCTCTACATACGCTTGTGTCTCACATCTTTCTCATCTGCACTGAATCTCAGAGGATAGGTCTGCACTCTTTCCTATGCTGTGGGAAGAAATGAGAAATTCTCACTGTGTTGTGCATCATGCATAACCTTGCTGTGGATTGTCTGAGAGAGGGGTTATGCTGCCTTTGGAAGTATCACATTTTAGCAGGTAAGATGCTTTCAAGGACTGTTGAAGTTTGGACTTCAGCAGATAATGTTAACATTCTGCATTTTTCTTACATGAAATGGAGCTGTTATTCTAGACTGCAGGAAGATACTGACCAGAAGATTTTATGGGCCTGGGCATTAAAAAAATTGATGAGCTATCTTGGCAGATGAAACATATGGGAGAAGGAAATCACGGCTGAGATCCAGTATGAGAAATCCTGAACCACCTCCTGCAAGTGCCTGCACAGTGTTTAGATGTGCCCACATCATTTTGGTAACTACCCAGCACTCCCTGGGCCATTTGGGAAGTGGAAAGTTCTCTATCCCAAAGACTTCAGAAGACTTATGTTTCCTGTTTCCAGTCATATGGATTTAGGCCAGTTTCAGTAGTTCTTTAAATACCTTAACAGTAGTAAATCAGGCATAGCACTTAACTCACCAAAATGCTGTCATACTTAATGAACATGAAACACTTGTGGATTCTTTAATAAAAGTGATGCCTGTGTAGGGCAGCTGAGACCTGTGTCATATCCCAGGCATATGAAACATTTCTCCTCTCATCTTACCATCAGAGTCTTCTCTAGGGAGCCTAATCCCCTTGTTATGACTGTCACATTGAGAAAAAAGGGAACAACTAAGTTGATCCTTTCACAGTCCAAAGTTTGACTGAGAAGAAGAAAATTGCCATCTGTTAAAATATATTTATTCATGTCCCCAGAGGTGTATTATAATTTCACTGTTCACTCCCCACCAACCATAAGGTATCAAATTGACTGTGGTATTGCTGGGTAACCTTGCTCTAGACATAATTATATCAATCAAAAGAGATAAACAACAGAATCTGACAGACCTGCCTGATAGCTGTTTTCAGCCCTTAAGAACCCACCAGGATTCATTTTTATGATATGCATTTCAGTCCTTGGGGGTCATTCTGCCTGGGTCAGTGAAAAGAATGAGAACTCGATAGCAGGATTTTCCTTTAACTGATGTGACTGCACAGCAGGTCTTTAAAGAACATAAACCACCACGAAACCTAATAGTGAACTAAGTGGCAAATGAGAGGACCAAATTGCGGTCATCAAAACCTCCCCACCGCTCACAGACCATCTTCTTTGTGCCATGCAGAGGCCCAAATTTATCACTGGTTCAAGATAATGACATTATATACAAAGATTATGTATAAAATAATGATAGATATATGATTATATAAAATATATAATATATATTTGATTATAAAATATTTAATTTAGCCCATTATACTGTGGTAAGGCAAAGGAAATAGAGTAATGGGAGAATTGGTTATAGAAAGCATTTTTAAATCTTCCCCTAAGAGTTCCAATAATTCTTCCCTTATACCAACAATATCTGCATGTTGTCATCCTTTAAGAGACTACTGAAGTTCATAAAAGGGATGTACTTTTGTAATTATATTTTATTTGGCTCATCTTTTTCCTTCAATCTTCGTTCCCTTTAATACAATTCTGACTCCCTGTACCACTTTGTTTGTCAAAATTGCTTTGTATTTCTCTGGCACATTATTTCAATCAAAGAAAGCAGGGACCAAAAGCAGGAATGCACAAAATCATGCTAAAATAAATAACTGTAGGACTGACCCTGTAAGTGAAATAAGTCAGCAGCTCCTCAATAGCTCCTAGCAAGCAAAGGCCCGGATTTCAAAGACAGAAAAGGGGTTTTTTTTTTGACTGTTCTGTACAAGCAGATACACAATGGTAGAACTGGGACTGAATGTGGAATATTGATACACAGCTATACATTTATTTGAAGAAGTCATCCCCTGGAAGAGAGAATACAAATCTACTGCCTCTTTCTGTTCATTTCCACACTAGGATTTTTATGGATCAGCATTTCTTCGTTTAAAAAGACTCCAACTGAAAATTTAAGATAATAAGTTATATAGACACTGTATAACAGCCTTAGCTTAAAAGCACCACTATCTTCTCTTCCAAACATTTGGCTCTTAAACATCAAACGTTCCCCAGAGAACAGCAAAAGCAGCGTAAAAAACAATTGGGTTCTATTTGCACTGTTTTGACAACAAACAAAGTTAAGAGAGAAGAACCGCTATTATCAGACATCTGTTCTGAGGAAGAAATTATATTTATGGCCTCAGGAGTATGTGCTGCTCAAATTACATCAGAGAAAAGGTCAGCATGCTGTAGGTGTATGACTAATTCAGTTTGAGAAATCAACACTGCTGCCCAGAAGTAGAGTTCCTGGAGAGCAATTACACAGATGTGAAGGCTGAGATAAGTCCAGATCTTTTTTATGCACTGCAGGAGGCAAAGGTACCAGAGAACCACCCTCCTCTTACCTGAGAACAACAAAGTCTCGGACGGGGTGAGGAGCCATGGTGTTCAAAACATACTGGTAAACTTCTGTCTGCTTGTCCAGGCTCTCCACCACCTTCCACTGCAAGAAGTCCTCGTCCCAAAGGTGACGTTCTCTCAGCACCCGGTTCAGGACAACTGATGGAGGGGCTTCAACTTCAACTGAGGCTTTCCAAAGCCTTAGCGGGTTCCCATCCCCAACCTGGAGTGAAGTGACCAAGAACACAAACCCTGATAATTTACATGCCTATGTTCAGCAGATGATAACTGAGGACAAAATCTCAGTGTGTGTGTCTGACTTCAGCTTAAGAGCACTCATATTTCTCTGCTAATCATTACTATTATTGCTATTGCTGCTGCTCTACTTGTCCTGGGCGGAAATCTGAAGTGATTTGTTGTTCTGCTCTCACAATAGAATATATCTGGACTAGTTCCCATAGTGCCAGCGAGGTTCTACATTACTCCTGGTGTGACAGACACTTTTCCAAGTCCAGACATCCTAAGTGGAAAGATGAATATGTGTCTGCAGAAGTAAAAAGAGAGGAGAGACTGGAACCCTGGGCTGAAATAAAGCAACTGCCTTAGGCAATCTTATACACTACCTGGAATTGAGGGTCCATTTACCCTCCTGGTTAATTTTGGGGGAGCAGAACATACATTGATTCAGTTATATGTCAGGTACACAGATGTTTGCTCCTCAAAATAGCTGCAAGGGAAGTGTTGGGAAAACACCTTTCAAAGAGCACAGACTATTTGCTAACTCCTCCTTGCTCATAGATCCTGTTTCTTGGAACACCTCCACAGCTTACAGTAAAGGGAGCAGAAAGTGCTGGGCTACGCACAAGGTGAATATCCTAGATTGTACACACACAGCTTTTCTGCATAGTTCTAGGGGTCCTATTTCAGGCAGTAAACAAGTTAAATAATTACTGGATCTTTCAAGTCCTGCTTTTGTAACCCTTCCCTACCCTACCATTCTCATATACCAGTGCATACTTTGGAAACCTCTAGTACCTCCCACAGACGGAGGATTGTTTCCCCAGAAACCTACCTTCCTCACCTCCCACCTTAAATTATTTCATGTTGTAATTCTTTCTCCTCAAAACTTTCAGTTCCCCATTTCCCCTGCCCTGGAGCCCCAGACACCAGTCCTCTCTGTAGTCTTACAGGTCCTTGACCACCAGCTGTAAAGGCCTCTATTCCCCATCTCCCACATCCTGCTCCCACCTGAGCCCTGTTACTCTCTTCCCAGCCTCTCACAGTCCCTCCCTGGAGAGGTCACGCACACAAGCTGGCCACAAACCACAGTAACTGCAATTTCTTTGCCCTGACAGAGGGGTTGCATTTTCCCAAGCTGGGTAATGCTGCCTCCTGCCCCCTCACCATCCAGATCTCACATTCCTCCCGGTGCTCTTTTCCTGCCTAATTAGTGTCACCTACCCTAATTCATCCCTTCCTCTTGCTAGCTGCTGCTGGTTTGGAGACCTCTGCTTTGCTATTCAGTTTCCAGCAGCCCTGAACTCCACTTTCTGCAGGGACCCTGCAGCACCCTCTGCCTCACTACAGTGGTCTGGCTTTCTCTGAAGAAGTGATGGAGTCCAAAACAGATTCAGAAATTTTAATAAAAGCTGCAGTAGCTGTATTCTCTAAACTGTTAGCAAACATCAAGAACTGGTCAGAAACTTCTCCTGTCCTCCAATCAAAGAATTTGCCCAGGAAATGTTCTCTGTTGTTTAACATTTCAGCTCACTCTCTCTGGTTGTGTTGTTTGCTGTGTCCCTTACTTGATCTATTTTGGAGACCCTAGCTTGCTTTCTGTGCCTTTCTCTGGAATCTCACATGTGAATCACTATTACATTACATTTTAACTGCTTTTAGTAATATTTAAAAAAATAATAATAAAGAAATATTGCCTTGCCAGAAAGAAAGGTGTGAGTTTTGCCATGCAACATGCCAGGATGCCCCGTAGCTGAGCTGCATTTTGCTTTTGTTTTTTTACTGCTTCCTTCATGTCTTCCCAAATTACCTTTTTGTAGGCAAGTTCTGTGTTCTCTACACTGGAACATGTGACCCATCCTTTGAATTTCTCTTTTGCTTCTTTCTGGAGATTCTGCATGAGAGTTTCCAGGTACATCTGATAATTCCCTCCTTCCTCATCCACTTGTTTCCCAAGCTCGTCCAGGGTAGGAGAATGCACTTCTGCATCGACATAGGAGTTTCGGGATTGGGTGATCATCTCGTGTGGGACCTGTGCCACAGAAGGGAGGGAAAACACACAGGGAAAATCTCCTGCTGAGAACCTTTCCTTAAGGCAATGTGTTTCTAGGCTGATGGACCATTCAGTACCCAATTGTATGAACTTAGGATCTGTAAAATGCACACCAATTTCTGCCTTTATGCAAGATGAAACACCAAAGTAGTCTAATGAAACAGCCCATGGCTCTGAACAGCACTACTCATGCAGAACTCTGTTAGATTGATCAACTGGATGTCAATACACCACTGTTACTCCTTTAGCCCTCTGAAATATTGCCTTGTGCTTCTGGGGAAAGAAGATATGAGCATTTGCTCTTGTCCAGCTGCACTGTAAGTAGCTCAGGATTGACTGCAGGTCTCTATGTGATTTTTACTTTATTGCATGACACACAGAAATAAAGTGTATAGGCAATTATTTTTAAGATGAATAGATTTTAATTGAGGCCTGAAAAGCATTGTAATAAAATTTTACACTAGCAGATTTTGATTTGAATTAGTCTAAAATTTTCTAATCCAGTGGTTTGGGTTGAAAACAGTCACAGAATAATTACCCTGCATCTTTTGAATATTAAAAGGGAACCACCATAAAGAAATGAGATAAATAAACTTTGGATGAAGCAAGTTTACAAATAAGTGAGGCACCCATCTCTGAGCTAACACAAGACAGAAAATATAAGGATAAACATAAATACTTCAAAGGGTGCTGCATTATGTGGCCATGAATAATGCTGTTTGAGTTTCTCACTCACCTCAAAAAGTTTGTTGCATTCCATTATCATGTGAGCAAGTCCCTGAGTAGCTGCCAGGTTTTCACTGAGGTCCTTCTGATCTGGCTTCCCTGTTGCATATTTTTTCTGTATTACTCTGTAATTGAATTCAGTATCTCAGGTAAAGAGCTGAATCTTTTTAATATGAAAGCAAAAACCAGCAGGATGCTCCCAACATCAGAGAGAAAAACCCCCTATCTTTAGTTTCTATTTATCAACAAGACTGCTCAAACTGCTGGGCCTTTTTTAAGGGAAAAATGTTTACCTAAAATGTTGCTCAGCCAAAGGTAAAAGCAGGAAAGGTTACACATATCCTCCACCATGTGTTGTACATTTTGAAATGGATTTTTAACAGACATGATGTAAAGTGGTTTACATTGTTACTTCTTAAAGCCCTTATTCAGACACAGGTTATACACGTACTTGACCAAGAATCTCAGTGTATTCTGAACCAGATGGAAGGGGAAAAAGTCAAGACGGACCACTAATGTTTAGCCGGGCTATGCCCTGTTTAGACTACAATCACCATGTTACAATTTTAATGTGGCCTGAAATAAACCCTGTTTCCTGAATGACAGAATGTAGACAGTAAATTGAAAGTGAAAAAACACTCAATGAAAATCTACATGTCAAAATCCTTTAAAACATGGTTAATCTTTGACTTCAACCAGAGCAAAATCAACCCCTTTTCCTTTACAGAACATTCAACATTACTCATGCAAAACTCACTAGTGCCCCATTGAAAATTCCACATGGAAAGCAGGCACCGCATATCCACAACAGACAACCAGAAATGCCTGCTGGGCTTGTGAAAACAAGTGTGCTTCTGGCTCTGCAGCAGGGGTTTTCCCCTCTTAGTGAAGCCATGCCCTGTTTAATGTGTGCTGGAAAGCAGATGGCTTGGAAAATTTTTCCTGCATACCACTGAAAATATCATTCCGTATTCAGGATGTGAATATTTATAATGCTGAGAAGAAACATACCTTGGTGAGCTTTCTTTCTTCACTATATTGAGATGGAAGAGGGAAGGGGCCAGACAAACAGCGATGTTCATGGGAGTCATCTGATTTTCCTCCACAGAGGTGACGTCGCTGAGGAAGCAGAGCAGAGTCTGCAGAACCTCCCTGTTCTCGTCGGCCATGAGCATGATTGCTGCCTGCACCGCCTGCAGCCGCTGCTCCTTGGGCACGTCTGGGAAGGAGCAAGGCACGTCCAGGGGGTCAGTTGTAAGATCAGGCAAGGAGCCAGAAAGATAAAGTTACCACAGACATTCACAGTCCCCTCAAGTGCTCAAAACCCGCCCAGATGTGGTGCTTAGGGATGTGTTTCAGTGGTGGACCTGGCAGTGTTAGGTTAATGCTCGACTCGCAGAGGTCTTTCCGGACCTTAGCAATGGATTTGCGAAGAGGCAGATGACAGGAGACCAAGGGGAAAAGATCAGCTGGCTTCTGGAGAGCTGGGTTTTTCTCCTCCATGAAGCACAGCTTCCCTCACCAGTGTTTGGCATTTCTCTCTTTGTTTGAAGGGCTGCTCCCAAGAAAGGCACTAGACTTCATTTGAAGTTTCTGAAGGGAGAATAGTACTCAGTACTCATAGCTTTAAATGGTATCTTTCAGGTTTTCTTTGTCCCCTGGCAAGACAGAAGTTTAAGTCTTAGGGAAGCTTCGGGAATCCTTAGATTTGTGTCCTAAACCATAGAAGAGTTTGATGAAAGTAGTGGAAATGTTTAAATAGCACCTCAGATTAATTTCTAAAACTACCATAAGTTCTCTCAGTTTGGACTTTAAGTCCTCCTCTGGGTATTACATACTCTCTATAATTGAGTGGAAGAACAACAAAAGCAGATTTACAGTAGAGGGAACAGCCAGCTTTTAGATTTGACTGCTAACCTTGTACAAGCACTTTATTTTAAAAGTTTTCAGACAGGAAAGACAAAATGAACACAGCTCAATACTTCTGAAGTTTCTGAAAGCAGCAAGGCCACGTTTTTCTGAGAAGTCAGAGGAGCCTTTGCTAAATCTATTCAATGTGTCTTTTCTTCCCACAACACCTCCTGGTAATCCCTCCCTCCCCTTTATTGTTGTTCTGATGAGTCTGGTACATGAAGCAGAACATCAGCCAGTGCTTCAAGTCACGGGTAAACATTCATCAACTGAGAGTTTTAGGAAAACGGAGAAAGTTTCACCAATGCTATGCCATATAGACTACTACATTAATAATCCAAAATCCCATGTGTTACAGCAATTCAAGCCATTCTGGATATATGAAAAAGGTCTTGGATATATGAAAAATATCTTCAGTGAGTCCCAGAAAATCAGAAGTCTTCTGCCAATACACTAGGAGAAGAAAAATTCTTTCTTACTTCACATTAATAATTTGTTAAACAGAACAAAGGGCAAGAAAAAAATCTCAGCTACAGATTAGTTTAATTGCAGATGTTATGAAATACAATTGATATCTCAGAAATTTTCAACATTTTTTTCTTTCTATGAAAGGAGTTTTGTCAGTACTCTCTGAAACAGAAATACATACTTGTTGTTGGTCACATGGAAAAAAACCCTTGCTACTCATTCTTAATCCAAACAATTTTTTCTGGTGTCTACAGAGTCCATCTTTTGTTGTTCCTACCTTGGTTTAAAGACACTTATCCTCAAGTCTTTCTGAAATCCTTTTACTCCTGGTGCATTTTAGCAATCTTAGCTCATCATTTCCCCTTCTGACCAATGTAAAGAGAATTTCTTCAGATTTCCCTCTGCAGCACCATGCAGACATTACAGAGCCAGCCCATGCCTCTTTTTACATTTTTTGTTGGCTGGTATCAGTGTTTCCTCAATCATCCTCATGTCTTGGAAAAGGGGAGCCCTTCTGGCTACAGACCTGCTTATGCTGATGCCACTGGGATCTACCATCTCTCTCCTCCTGTAGCAAGGGGGTAATTTACTTGCACTCTCTTCTGTGCAAAGAGACATCCCCAGTTTTCATCAAGCAATAGTTTAGTGGTGATTTGTTTCCAAGGATACGCAGGACATGTCCTTGCAGTGGATAATCTTCTCCTTGGCCACGTCCTCATGGAAAGGGTTGTGACTGCCATTTTATTGGCGGCCAGAATTCCTGTTGCTTTTCTTAATAAGCTTAATAATGTGTGTGCAGGCAGACAACTTGTGAGCAGGAAAGAAGAAGGGGAAATGATGGTCCAGGGCTAGGCACCAACTCTCGCAGTTAACTTATGTTCCAAGACATCACGTACAGCCAAACCCACTGAATTTATTTGCAGTGCTGTCTCTCACATGCAGAATCCCAGTGTTCTCTACCAGCTACAGACACTGTGGTGGTAAATTCATTAGTGACTGCATGCCACAGACAGATTTTTACAGTAAAGGGAAGCAACGGAAGTATCTGAGATTCTTAAGCACTGGGATTACACAGTGTTTTAAAATGGCTTTCTATTGTTTTGGCAGATGAAATGTCTGCAAGTGAAAAGACTAGACACACTTCTCTTTAGTGCTTCCAATTATTTGGCTTAGGCTGGCTGCATCTGCCAGAGTGCTGGCTGACTGGCCCTCATAATGGACGTTGTCAGGAAAAAACCTCCAATTCTTCTGGCTGTTCAGTGTTTTCCTCACTGTTTATTTCTCCCTCAGTCTGGAGAAGATACACACAGTCATTTCCTGATTCACAGGGACTTTCATTATTCTGATGCATCTGAGTCTCAGATTTTTCTGAAGATTGCGTATGCTGGAGAGAAAAGAAGAAATCTTTCTTTCTCTATGAGTTCTTTACATAGAGCTTATGATCTACATGAAGGCAGCTTGTTTTTGCATGTACATTTTATTGACTATAAAGAAAAAACAAATAATCAAAAGTCACCGCAAGGAAAGGGACTACAGAGACACATATTCTCATGGTCAAGTACCACTTCTGCATGCCCAGAAGACTCACTTATATTGAGATATAAGAGCATAAAATGGGCACACAGTTGAATGAAATCTGACAAAAATATGAGTCTTCATGCTTTTTGTGTCCAGCAGCATGTTCTTCTGTCTTCTTTCTGATTGTGAGGCTGGTATGAACATTGCCTTTCCATTAAATTTGACAGAAATGTTTAGGTGGTCCTAAAGACCTGTTAGCGAAAGATTTTGAAGGCAGAGGGTTTTTTTATATCTCAAAGGTCAGCAGAAAGAAAGCTATCAAGTGTTAACACACCAACATTATTAACAGTGTATTACTATATAATAATAGAAATATGTAGAAATATCAACTTACATTGATAGATGTGCAGAAAAGTCTCTCCTAGTTTACTTGTGAGGAGAGGTTCTGGCAAGTCTCTGAAGAATTGCTTGACCATGTCAGCCACATCATATGCGGACTGGTCTTCATAGCTGACGTTTTCTGGGGAGCTCTCGTTCATCTGTCGCAGGGCCTGGATTCGGGATTTCACTCCAGATTTCCGAAACAGACCCACCTAAAAACGTTCCATATTGAGTTGGGTAAAAGGGAAAATGGTACTTGAAGAATATATATCTGGTATATGCACTTATATGTGGGGACTTGGATCATGACCAAAGCTTGGGTTGCTTATTTCACTGTAGGCGAGAAGGAGGGAAATGTGCAAATGCAATTGATGGTCCTACAAGCAAGGCAAGCACAGGCTGCCACAGAAGGATTGCAGGGGTTAATAATGCTGCTGCTCTCTGTCCTCTCCTAGAGAGAGGGTTCAGAGTGCCTTGTGGTTTCTCTGCTGCCTGAGAAGTTTAAGCAAGAAGCTCTTCTGATATAAATCAGCCTGGCTTGCTTGGCTTGGGTGACTGTCTGTTGATTTACTCCAGCTGAGAATCTGGCCTCTCATGTTTATTTGGGTATATATTTTGAAGATTAACAAGAAAATATTATGCTTAGCTAAGTAATAAATGCTGTGGCAGAAGATTAGTACTTCCTGGTAGAGCTTTAAAATCAAGATTAAATGTATTTTTTCCCTTTCATGCTCTCTGATTCCAAGAGTTCTCCCAAATCCCGCTGAAAAGTACAGTTCAAGAGCGGGGGCCACAGAGGGATTACTTGTGCAGTGTCACTAAGATACATTTTTATCCTGTTTGCTTTCTATTTTGAAAGGAAGTGGTAATTCTTCAAATGATGCCTTCAAGGCAGGGCTGCCCTTTCTTGTCCTTCTCCACCCACGGAATTCCCCCTGGGCTGAATTCCTGGGCCTCAACCACATTATTTATTCCCAGGTGAGTTTACAGTGTTTCATTTGGGAAGTGTTAACGCTGTTTTTCCCTCAGTTTTACAGGAAAAAGGTGAAACATTGAGAGAGACCTATGGGAAAGGCACATTTCCAGTTGGGAATTAGACCCCTTTTCCTCTGTGATTGATGTCTTGCTGGTGATCCTGCATGGCATAGTCCATCAGTAAACAGTAAAGGCAAGGGAATAATGCCTTCTGGCCTTCTCCCCCTTACTTCTGAGTAAGAAGCAGCACAGAGTTCACAGAGGACCCTTCTCTCTCTAAAACACCTCCCATGCTCACCTGGAGAGTATTTAGGATTTTGGTTAACTCGCACATTCATGACAGTAATTACATAGATCACAGCTCTGTGAGAAGGTATATTTATTTAATTAATTAATTAAATGAAGATGAACCGCTGCACCAGACTGGCTGTGAGGCAGCTCTTCTAGGTCTTCTTACTGATGAATTTAGTGTCACTTGAGAGCTAAATTTATGTACAGGAAGTAGAGAACTGAAGTGTGCCCTATGCTCTGTATTTATATTCCAAGTGAAACTCTACTCTTCTTCCTGTCAAGAGCATACAAGAAAGAGCATCTATCTCTTTTCATCTGGTTTTCCCTTTCCCTTTCTCTTCTTTTTATATGCCTTTTGCTCTTAGAAATGTGTGTCCTGAAGATGAAGACAGACTTGCTAATTCTGTCCAAAAAATAAAGTTTTGGCCTGTGGTAGATAAATGTCAGACCAGAGGCTCAGTTCTCTCCTTTTGATGGAAAGTGTCCTTGCTGGTGTAAACAACCATTAAAAACTTCTAGCTAAGTCTGCTTTGAGAGGTCAGATGTCACATCTCACCCATGCAATCTCCAGCTGCACATCATTCCACTACTCTTGATCTCTGTTTAAAGACATTTATCCAAACTTCTATTTCCTTTTTTTTTATTAATGGAAAAAAATTAAAATTAATTAAAAGAGTTCTTCACTCAGTAAAAAGAGATGTTTAACCTCTGTTATGCATTATTACAGACTTGTTCTGTAAATAAAAAAGGACTAAAAACCCAGAGGTTAGTCTGCCCCAATCTCTCTACTATCCTCATGCTGCATGGATCATCTTCCCTACAAGCAGCCATATAATGCATGACAGAAATAAAGATGCAGTTGGAAAAGGCAAAGCAGTTTTTATTTCATGAAGTGAAACTGAATTACATATCCTACAAGTAATTGTGGGGCTCCTCATGCAAGTTTAGGGATTTCAGTGGCAGGAGCCAGACCTTGAAATGGTTTAGAGCAACCTCAACTTTACCAAGTGTGTGCAGTAGAAGCTCTGTCACCTGTTCTGAACTCTAGCTCACCTTCTACAGTGCACAGGAGAGACATAAGCAGGATGCTGAGGTTACCCAGGTATTAGCAGACTTTGAATTAAATGGGAACAAAGGGAGTAACTGTAAAGCAGAGGAGCTGAACTGCCTGAAATGTTTTTGTCTAGAAAGATTTTTGGTGGAAAGATATTTTAAATGATCCCAATTTGTACTTCTCCTCCTTCCTTTTTTTTAAAAATCAGTATTTCCCCAATTTTAATCCAAGAAGAAACCAAAGCTGAACTGAAATTCACAGAGCTCTGATGCTTCCCAGCCTGTAAACACAAATGGAGCAGATAGTTGTCTGAGGCTTTCAGCATCTTTTAATTGCTTCAAATCTCTCAAGAGCTTTTTCTTTCTCCTTTAAACTCCCTTTACATTCTCCCCAATTATTTCTCTCTCTTCTCTTTCTTCCTCTTATTCTGCTTCTTAGCTGACAAGCCCATCCCTATCCTTACATGTCCTATTCCTCTTATTTGGGCATCTCCTCCTCCAATCTCATCATTAATTCCAGGCTTGCTGCATCACTTTTCTTTCCTACACTGGCTTTCCCAGCTCAGTACACAAACCCAGCTGAGCACTGTGGCAACCAGGCCTTTTAGCTCCCGAATATATCACTTCTACTTGTCTCTATGCATCTTTCCCTTTCATCCTCTCTTAATAAACTTCTGACAAGCTGTTCATCCCACCCGTCAGCTCCCACACTGCACATGGCTGGCAGAACTCATCTCACCTCACTTTTGACACTATGGAGTTAGATGTCAAGGTCTGACTACTACAGGATCGCTTTACAGAGAGAATGGTAGGAAGGACTTGTGCCTTTCCCACTGGCTGCAAAGGGAAATGGTTGTGATTCACTGGAACACCTGTAATTTTCAGATTTCAGTTTTGGGGAAGATGACTGTCACCCAACAAAAAACTTGAACAGCAACTAGAATAGTGATTAGAAAATGTGAAGATTCAGAATAGTCTAATTCCACCCTTTTTGTGTGGCCAGAGCTAGGAAAGCAGCAAAGTCTGCAGAGCAAAGTGTTGGTTGCTCCTTTCGAACTTACAATTATCTAAAGGCAGTTATGAAAGAGGTCATATCACATGAGGTCAGTAACAATAGAGGACTGAACATAAACAGCCGGGGGTTTTCTCGAAGTCCTATGTTCATAAAAATATACATCCTCATCCTTAGGGGAAGAACAGTAAAAATATGATAAGTATGTCCCTCTGTAGCTAGAGGGAATAAAAAAAATATGAAATACTTTGAGCATGAGGGTGTCCCAGCTGGCTTGTTGTAGTTAAGAACACTATAAAAGGCAGTGTACCATAATGGCTTTGGCATTGAACCCCTGCTGACCTAACTATCTGGATATATCTGACTCTGTCAACAGAATACTTGGAATATTTTGCTGAGTTTGCTCTCCATTCTTGCACTTTTCTGTCTTTGCTAAGTAAATAAAACCTTTTGTACCATATCTTGTGAAATGGTGAATGCAGTTAACCCTCAATGGCAACAATTAAGCATAAGCAGTACAAATACATTTAGAAGTGCGAAGTCCTGATCCCTTCCCAGGTTTCATTCAATATACACGAAGATCTCAAAATGTTGTTTGAAGCAGAGTGTGGTATACAAATCAGCAGGACTGTTACAGCTACAGAATTTCAACAGATTAGCTGGATACAAATCTCAAAATGGAAAACTTTTAGTTTTGGCCCCAGATATCAAATCACCAGAGGAGATCAAGGCCCAACATGAGAGATTATAATTTTCAAATAATCCCAGCACTTAGTACAAAAATGGTCACTGGTACTTGCTTAAAGTGGCTTTTCATAAAAAACCAACAAGTCCATGGAGTAAAGTTCCTACCTGGTCTAGACAGTTGCTCCGTAGGTAGCGCAGGGCTTGTTGGATGCTCTGGGGAAGAGGCTGCCCTGTTCTCTGAACGTGAACTATCAGGGGCACACCAAAGACATTCTTGTCCTTGTAGTCAGGGACTTTCATCCTCTTCATGAACTTTGGCACAGACCTGAAAATTAACATGAACAGACTGCATGAAGAAATCAGTATTTACACACCTTCTGAGTAACACTACTGACAGAAATTGGTAACTGGGTAATTTTAATAAAGATGGCAAAATAATGTTTAATGCACAATACACAGACACTTTACAATTGACATAATTGATTAATTTCTTAATGTCTATAAGTCGATGGCCTCAAATGCACAGCATTACAATCAGTTCTAACAAGAACCTTTTACTACTCAGGTGTCAGCCAGCTGAAGCCAACAGGTTTAAAGCATCTTTTAGGGACTCACAGGAATGGCGAGTGGAGAGGGTATCTGAGGGAAAAGGAAGTTCAGTCTTCTAACATGCTGAATGATCTTTGTACTACTAGTTACACGATTTAGTATTTCTACTGACTAAAACTCTACAATAATAAATGATGGTGGGAAATCCCTATGTGTCAGATTACTCCCTTGTGTTATATGATTTATTATTTATTCTAGTTGAGTAACTTAAGTGAAGCTGGTGAGCTTGCTTTCTTCAAAAAACTATGATGAAAACAAGAACCAACTGGATTCCCTTTTTGGGAGTCATGACTGCCACAGAATTAAAATTAAAAAGATGAATATGACCTGAATGTGACTAAGAATTTTGTCATCTGTGTGGGAAGAAGTAAAAACTCATTTTAAATTATCTACTGAAGAAGTACAGTGCGTAACTATACAGCTATTTACAGTGCCTCTCTTAAAAATCCTTAGAGACTGATTATAAAAACTGAAGGAATAGCTCTCAGGATGAAAACCTTGTACAAACAGTAGGGCCTAGAATTTGTTGTATTCTAGTCTGCTTGTTCGAAGTTGGGTAAGGTGAGATTCATTTCAGCGCACATGCCAACTAGCCACAGGGAGTGCACTGAAGGAGAGCAGTGAAATGGGGATTAATTTTACTGAATTTTAGTTCCCTTACAGAGATTTAGAAAAAGTCAGCTGTCTGGACTATCTCTATACCCACTCTAGAGATAAACACCTCTGGAAGGTGACCCAAACCCTCAGCCTTGGATATAATGGGTTGCTTTGGGGTTGCCTGTCTTTTTCTTCTGACAACAAACAGCCAACCTGACTTACTCAGATTAGATTTATAACAGATTACTATTTTAAATTTTCCTAATGACTGATGTCAGTGAGGTGAATCTCACATGTATCAATTGTATCTATTTTTCCATTTCTAAGGGAAGACTTGTCTTAACATAGCTCACAGATCAATTTAGTGGGATTTTGGGGAGGTGCTTGCCACATAAAATTGACAATATAAATATCAAGTCATACTTCACCTGGACTGGGTGCCTTAGTGTTTTAGGGAAAGATTCTGTCATCCTTTTGAATATTTCCCAGATAATTTTATTCTTTGTCAGATTCTGTCATCCTTTTTGATTATTTTCTCAGATACTCTTATCCATGCCCATTTCCATTTCTGGTGTACCTCAATCTGTGGGGCCCACCAGGGTTTTTATACCATGAAACATGCAGGTTTCTGTAGCCAATTGCTAGAGAAAGAGCCACATAGTGAGCATTCACATCTATGTGTGCTTCCCTCTACTCCCTGAGTGACCAGGTAGCTGTCACAGCTGACAGGGCTGCAAGCTCCCTCTAACACAGGTCCAGGCTTAGGCCAAGGCCTGCATCTTTGATTTCTAGAGAAAAGTCCCACAACTATCTTAACTCTTCTTTTAAAGCTCAAACAAAGCAATATCAAACACATGAAGCAGCAGCTGTTTCTTTTTGAATCACCAAAAGAATACTGGGTAGGACTTAGTGTAAACTTTTCCTACTTTGTAGTCACTCTCTCCTATTCCTGTTTCTTTTTCTGGAACTGCAGCATTGTTCAAAAGGCCAGGGCAGTCTCTCTGTTAGAGCTCAGGAATGAAGTCAGATTCTCAGGATCTATTTCTCACTTTGCCAATGAGCCACTAGGCAGCCATGGATAATAAGGGCCAGTTTCAAATCCCACACTTGAAGTCAACGGTTCCTTCTAATTGCATTTACTAACCAACAAGAGTAACAGAATTAGGAGAAATTATTTTCTTCTAAAAAGTCTCTTCCCAGTTACCAGTGGCACTCACCAGGTCCAGCCATGTTTGTTTGACATGGAGTACTTTTCCATGATGGCAGTGAGACGAAGCAGAGAGAATTTTTGCAGTAGATTCAGCTGGGCTGCTGACTGGTTGCTGATGTGAAGCGACGCAATGGAGCGGCTCAGGCGATGAGAGATTTGGAAACTTTGCCATCGTAATTGCCTTTAGCAAAAGAAATGGTAGAAAAATCAGAGAACTGCTTTGGTGGGGCAAAAAAGATGGTGTACTGTGAGATAGGGCTGGGCAATGTATAAAGCATACATAAACACACACATATGTGATGGCTTGTGGTGCAAAAAGAAAGAAAATGTCCTTGGAGATAAATACAACAATTTAGATAATCTCTTTAATTTCAGAAATGCCCAAGTTTTGTCATTTTAACATTAGATTCATAACTGCATCCACTTATGAATGGGTCCTCTCCATATACTTGGGGAAGCAGTGCTGCCTGCTATGGTCTTTAGCCCACACACTTCCAACAGGATGTGGGAGGTTTAGAGACAAATGTTCTTTGCCTGACTCAGAACTGGTATTTGATGCCTAGTCCCTCATCTCTCAGGGGACTGACCTGACCACTGAGGTATTTGGAGATGAGGTTCTCCAAACTGTTTAAATGTTGAAAGATTTTTTTTTTTAAAAAAGGATTAAACCCTGTGTCTCCTTGTCTAGAAAGACAACCACCAAGCTACTGAACCATTCACATATTTTTAGCCCAATGCACTTTCTCTGTATACTGGATTCATCAGAAAAAAAAACCCTAATTTTATTTTCTTGTTTCACTACGTATAAGTTCTAACACAAATTCTAAAAAATTTGCCACTGCTCATTTACTCAATAGTTTCCTCCAGTCCACTTTCACTTTTGTGGTGGTGGTGAGCAAGCACAGGCAGCAGCAAACCATGGCATGGCAGAGTCCTCTATGAGGGTGTGACAAGGCTGGCAGCAGATCAGTATTATCAGAAATACCAGTATCAGAAAATACTAGGTATGTTCTCCCTGCTTTTGCACTTACAAAGCTACCCTACATACAACGGTTTAGACCCACAAAAGCTCTTGCCCAGGACCATTGGTACTTGGCACAACAGGAGCTCATCACTCTGACTTAAAACAGGTCTGCAAATTATCAAAAAAATTCCACTTTTCACTTTATTAAGAAGTAAATCATTCATCACAATTTCATCCCACCCACGTAAGGGGCTGGGGCAGCATAGGGAAGTTCTCTTTGAGCATAAAGGGGCACATTTTTAAAGCAGATCAGTGCATTAAAAAAGTGCATAAAGCTACAGATTCATAAAGATCTGGGTGCATAACTTAGAAGACAAATTAAAAATACATCCTACAATATATACAGGGTCCTGCTATGTAATCAATGGATCAAGGGATAAAGAATGTCTTAGTTTGCTCTATTAAACCAATTCTGCATTGATTCCATGTAAGAATATTGCAGCAGGATGTCCCTTCCCTCAAAATCCCACCTTTCCTTGGGAAATCCCCATCTCCATGCAGAATGAACACTACTGTTATGGTACCCTGTGCCTTCTGACTCCTAAGCTGAGAACCTCCGCTTAATTAAATTGTATTTCACAGTCTGTGGATTTGTATACAAAATTTTGCTGCTTACCTGCTTGGCCTTGTGAGTGATGCTCCCACCCCAGAGTCCCTCCTGTCCCTAACACCAGTGGCTTCGGATTCATTCAGGGATGTTCCATCTCTGTCCATGTCACTCGGGGTGGTCCGGCCATCGGACACAGAGTTTCCTTCAAAATCGAGAGTGATCTGTGTAGGCGACTGGAAAGGCAATGATGGGGATTCACTGACCGACACGTCGCCAACCGGCAGACCTGGCAACACCTTCTTTGACCAGCCGTCTACCACCTCCTGCAGTCCATTGACATGTTGCAAAATGTCATCTAACTGAGGAAAAAGGACATCTTTCTCTATGTCCAGGAGGTCCCCAGTACTAGCATACAAGTGGGAACCTGGCACATTGTCATAAATACTAATTCTGCTCTCTTTAGGACAGCAAGCCATCAGTCCGGATTCCTTTGGAGTAGAGCAGTTCTGCTTTCCCAAAGAGATGCTGCCCGTCCTCCAGTTTACACTGTTACTGTTGTCTGTAGGTGAGAGACTTTCGATAGAAAGTGCCTTTGGGAAGGTCCCCGGTTTGTGATCCTTGGGAATGTGCACAACCAAGTTCTCCTGGGAATGAAATTCATTTTTGCGGTTTTGGTCCACCACCTGCCGTAAGGCTGTTCCTGCCAGAACATCCAGGTCCTCCAGGTACATCCCACCTCTCTTGTTTGCTTCGTGGCACTTGCGTTCCTTTAGACATGGCGTGCTCACTCCACTGCTGCTGTTTTCGGACTGACTGCTGTCACTGCTGGATTTGGCAGAAAAGGGAAGCCCTCTTTTGACTGAATCTTGCCCCAAATTTTGAAGATCGCCATTGACTATCTGCACACAGTGCATGTCTTTCAAGGATTTTGGCTCAAACTGGAGAACCGGTCCACTGATCTCTAAAGGACCTGTTCTTCCCGAGCCTTTCAGTTTTCCATGCACGGCTTTTGCTTTTAGTGTCTCCATGCGTTTTAGAAAGGTTTTTGCTCTGGCTCGTGTTGGATTTTCATTCTTCAGGCCGTCCTTGGGGGATGGGGCGGTGTTTATTGTAGCAGAGTCCTGCAGCAGGGTGCTTTCCACATCATGATGGGCAGAGCAGTCGCAGGCCTCCCTGGCAGTGCTGGTGGTGCCAGATTGGCTCCTGCTGTCACTGCCCCCACTGCTCTCGCTGTGAATTGATGAGAGCTCAGGTTCACTCAGATCTGTAAGGACGCTCTCACTGCTTGTCGTGTTTTTCATTTTAATGTCCCCAGAAGAGCCATGTCTGTCAGATCGGTGAAGCAGAGTGTCAATGTCGTCCACCCGAGACCATCGTTTGCTGGTTCTTTGGAAAGTCCATTTATTACTGATAGCACAGAGATCTTCTTCATCTGAATCTTCACTCTGGGAAAAAAGCAAGTGGCACATGTTAAAATTGTGTGCTTGAAATTGATATTTGAATTAATGCGATTGGGCTGCTCCAGGTGAGCAACAGGCAGCAAAGCCTCTCTGAGCCAAGTTTATGGAAGACTGGTCATCAGTCCTTTCATAACACCATCTTTCATTTAGTTGTAAAGACTGCAAACATCTTAACAAGAAAGAAATAAAAGCCTGCTCCATGTTAGGAATTCCACTGATACCTCTTGGCTTCTATGGACTGCCTGTGCACTGAATTGTATAGGGCTGATGCTCACAGTGACTGTTTAGGAAAAAAAATAATGTTTTGAAAGGCCAAAGTAAAGGAATCCTGATTTGCAGGGATGGTGTTAAGATACACAGGGTAAAGACAGGGGAGTAGCTGGGTACTACAGCAATGTGAGCTATTTAAAAATCCAAGACAGCAAATATCTGGTGCTGCACGTAGGTTTGCAGTGAGAGCTAAATAAACATCTATAAACTTCACAGGCCAGATACATCTAACAAGATTTATGTTTCAGGAATATAACGACAGATAAATAATCATGATGCTTAAAATAACAATAAAAAAATACTTGGCAGTATTGCTTAGGGTGTGTCTGAGTGCAGGCAAAGGAGAGCAGAGAAGGCAGCCATGGAGATGTGGGCAGGAGGAGCAGCCAGGCTCAGGCTGGCATGGGACAGCCTCTGCAGCTGAGGTGAGCTTTCCTACAGTAGGCAACCACCATCCTCACTGCTGTCATCAGTAGAGGCACCCCAAACTTGATAACCTGCAGCCTGCCCCACTGTCTCTGGCTTCTCCTGAGGCAGCAGCACCCCACAGCCCTTCCTGGTCTAATCCCTCAGCCTCAGGCAGGCAGAGCCGTGCTTATGTTTAGGAGCTACTCTGCAATGCAGAGAACGTGTGCCTTGAAAGAAAGTTAGATAAAAAACCTCACCCTATGACATTTTTCTCATCTGTTTGATCATACAAAAAAAGATACATCTTCAGCATGAAGCCCACAGTTGCTAATGAGTACCATTTTCCTGACTTTGAACTGGACTTGCACTGTATTATTCTTGTGCATTTGTTTTAAAGCAGAACAAACTAACTTCACCTACATGACATCCAAACAGCTCTTCACATTCTTGGAAGCAGTATGAAGGCAGTAAAATATGACAGGCTGTCAGACTAAAATGAGGTGCTAAACCAGAAAGACTATTTTGGGACTGGAAAAATTCTCATTTTAAAAGTCTATTATTAGAAGTATTTTTATATGAAGTTTGGATGGTAAAGTTATCTCCAATCTCTGACTAGATCTTTGCTGGCCTGTCTAATTGAAAAATGTAAACCAAATTTTACAAGAGCACCCAAAACCTTAAATAATGTGAAACCTCAAAAGCTGGAGATTGGGATCAGCAGTGTGCCAGGTCTCACTGATGCCATAAACTTTTGCCAGTTTATCACTTCAAGTCAACCAGATGTTTTAGATCATGTCCAAACCATAAAATAAAATATAGCTGTGAAATTTTGGGTTTAGGCATCCCTCTTTCTTTTGTTAACATTGAGGTGTGCAGTGCTCCCGTGAGTTTACAGGAATGAATGGAGATCCTCATTCTGTGGCTTGTTAAAGAGAAAAATTGGGCACTTCATAGTGAAGCATGAGGGAAGGGGCTAGAAAAGGCTAATAATTCTGCTTTGGCCATTTTGTCTGCAGGGAAGAAATGGCACTTTAGACAGTTCTACCTTTGTTTTACCTCCACAGCCTGTTGTATGCATATATGGACCAAAGGACTGCATAGCCTCAGGAACTTAAAAATCCATTTATTGTGGTCTTAGTAGTGCCACAAAGTGGATATTTAAAAAACCGCAAGGGTACGTACTTTTAAATATTTAGCAGTGGTAATTATATCAACAAAGCATACCACTGCTGAAGCGTTGGTGGCACCAGCCAGCAGGATAAACATATTTTTAAAATTTGTTCTATATTGCAATATGCCAAAGGGACCTTAAGGAAGACTCTTGGCTGACACAAATCCCTGTATCTGCACTGACATTACTGTATGAGCTGACAGGATTTAGCCTGTATTTTCTACAAGCTGGAATCGATTAAAGTAGCCAAAGAGGTAGAGACATTGCAAAAAACACCAAGAAGAAAGCACAGAGCAGAAGACAGAAATAAAAATAAATGCAGTGGTAAATATACTTTAAATCTAAAGTTTGTGGGGTTTTTATTTTGTGGGATTTTTTTGTGCTTTTGTTTTGTTTGCTTGTTTGTTTGAGTTTTGTTTTTTGCTTTTTTTTTTGTTTGTTTGTTTTGACAAAGTAGAGATGAACAGAAATGGATATTGGAAGTAAAAAAGTTTTCCCTCTAACCACAGCAAAGACAGGATTACATTCTGCCCAAGAATCACTTAGAAAGTACAGAAGCTTTTCAGTGTCAAAATTTGCAGCTCAATTAAATAAAGGCTGTGTTTTGGGTTCCTTTTAATTGATAAAGAAACATGCATGTGTTTCATCAGAAGCAAAATCAGGCAAATATGAAATGAAATATCTGGATGCTGAGATACTGCTATGGTGACTCACTACAAGTTCAGCTGCACCATGAGTCCTATAACATATTGTGCTTTTCTTTTGATTAAATCAAGAGAAATTCAGGAAGCCATGAACATCCTGAATGACCCACTGTTCATGTCAGATATCTGAGTGTCCTGACAAATGAAACTGTCCAAAAAAAAAAATGTTGAGAGCACTTAGGCCACCCACGTGTCACCAGCTAGGGAGACCGCAGATCAAGAGAAGGTCTGAAAGCAATGATTCATCTGACACAGGCAGAGGAGACATTTTGGAACAGTGACTGTATATTTCTACTGACCTGGGGTGAAATCAAGTGCACAGCTTTGGAGCATATTCAAAAGTCCAGTTAATACCATTATGTTTGGGAAGATGAGAAGGGGCAAGTTTCTTGAGCAGTGACTGGTAACATTTGCCAAAGAGAAAGAGGTTTTGATTCACAGATTTGTCACAGCTGATTTAAAATAGTACAGCTTTTTGACTGAGGGTGTACTTGCCTGAAATACAGAGGCATGATAACAAAAGGCATATAGTGGATTTATTTGCAGTGGAATTCTGCCACATTTTTCCAGCTGGGGGCAGGAATTCTCATAAATCGACAGCTGCAGAAGGCAGTTAATTCAAAGGCTAATCTCTGTCTGTCCAAATCGCTTACGGACATATTTGCAACACATACATAAGGATTTCTGTTTGCATCTTGATGAAGCCAAGGGAAGACAGCAGCCAAGGGAAGACAGTGGGAATGGTCTGGGTGGGAGAGTGGGCAGCAGGGAATGCTGATGCTGAGCTGTCTTTCACAGGAACCTTGCCTGGCAGCTTGCTTGGCCATATTTTTGTGAATCACTCAAGCAGCTGTGCTAGTCGTCTGCATACCTGCTATGCTGAAGCTCCAAAGCAGGCTGATTTTGCATTTCATTGTTCAGATCACCACAGAGACTATTAGGAAAAGCAGTATCTACAGCAATAAATGGATTTAGTTTGGTGATCAATTTCAGACCCAGTTTCTGGCTTTTACATTTCCTCCTGTCAGCAGGCTCTCCCTCTTCTTCTCTCACTCACATTCTCCTCTACTTTCAGTTGCTCTGTATCTGTGGACTAAAATCTCCTCCAAGTCCTCTTTGGCTACATTTTTCTGTGCTCAGCTTCTCTGTGGCTTTGTTGCAGGTATGGACCCAAATAGCTTCTGTCCCCTAGAAAAAGTACCAAGTAGGGCTGTGTCTCTTCCACCACAAATTAGTGGTCATTTGCAAGGAGAGCAGCTGAGGACTTCAATCCATTCAGAGCAGGGAGGAGTGGCAGCAAAAAATTAATGAAAAACCAACATAACAAAAAAAAAACCCCTCCCTTTTTAACACAACCTAAAATCCAAGACAAAAAAACCCCAACCCCATATGCAGTGATGAGAAGTCCCTGTAGCTCCAGGGAATGGACAAAATAGAAATTGAAGAGGTTAGTACACAGAAGAACAAGCAGACATGAGTCAAAGCAGGATATCTGGACATTAAAACCATCCTCTGTTCAAGTTCCCTCAAACACTGAATAGAGTAGGATGAGACTGAATTTGCAAAGACATCAAAAATGCAGCTCTTGGAGTCAGTTTTTAAAAAGCACTAGAAAAACACTCTAAGAAGGAAAAACAGGAACCAAGATTTCTCAGAGCTGACAACTACTATTGTATAACATTCAAGGACTTTGGGGAATTTATGACCAGAAAACCAAACATTCAACAGTTAATGCTGGACATGTTACAAAACTCTCAAAATCAACAAACTGTTTCTGCAGCCCTCACTGAAACCCTTTACTCTCAGATAATTCCCATGTTACACAGGAGCTTGTAAGGATGACAGAGTTTATTTTCAAATTCTTAACTGGGAAGAAGTCAGTATAAGAAACAAAGAAAAGCTGTTGTTTTCATCTCAGCAGCTTCCATTTTTTCTGAGCAGGATTTTCCACTGTGTACTCTTTTGACATTGACAAACAAGCCAGTCTAATGAAGCTTTACTATCTTTTCACCCACTAACTTTAATTGTACACATGTAGAATTTAAGTACTGTGTGAGCCCTTCTAACACACCTAGTATTTACTCACAGTTTCTATTCTATTTATAATTTCAAGATTTAGCAATTTACATTATTATGCATCCAGATAATGCTGACATGCAAGTTCAAAGTAAAATAAGTCACTTTTATGAGCATTATTGAATTAAAGGCTAAATTGGGGTTGTCTTATCACAAAAGCCAGGGTATATTTATTGAAGTTCCCTTACCTTTTTTCTTTGGAAGTTCACATCGAGTTTCATTGAGGCGCACTTGTTCAGTGTGTTCAGTCGTCTACAGGGCAAAGCAAATTCAAAAGATTAGCAGTCTCTGACTAAAGGGCATGATTTTTTGCAAGTTCAAAACATGTTCTCTTATCTTACTGTAGGGTGCCAACCACATATAACAGCTTCAGAAAGGATTCTGGTCATCTATTCCAGCTATACGACCACTGTATGAAAAGGAATCCTTAATTTCACTTTACTTGACAGCCAGGTTTGATAGATTGCTTTTTAATTTATAGACATTTCTGTACTTAGCAAAGGAAAAACTATAAACAAACACCTGTGATAGCTGGGGAAATGACAAGAGAGGGAGGTGAGTTGCCTTATGTAGGCATAACATAATTGGTCTAAAATGGGGATTTCAAAGCACTAGTGAAAGACCAAATAAAAAACCAGCTGCAGTTCCTCACTTCTGGAAATTGGCACATCTTTAAAAAAATTGACATAACAAACCGCTAGCTGCTACTTATAGTTTTTCCAAAGCCAATAGTTTATTTTCTCCTATCTGTGGATCTTACACACAGGTTAACACACCCAACATGTAACAAATCTAACATTTTAAAATAAATATTTTTAGCTATTTTTGACCACGTTTATACTGATATTACCAGAGTCTCTGTAAGGCTTCTTCTCCTTAAATCCAAGTCTATCCTGTGATGACAGTGAGTTAAATGACTGTGTGTGTGTGTGTGTGTGTGTATGTGTATGCCCTTGTGCAAGGACAGCCAGAGGACGAGTAAACATGCTCTTTCAATATAGAACCTCCTGTGGTAATGATAATTGATTTGGTTTTATTTATACTTAAAGATCCTGATACATGAAACTGTCCAACTTCTAAAAGCAGAAGCTTAAATTTAAATATGTTTGACTTTGAAAATTTTCCATATCTAGGACTGAATTTCAAAATAAAGGGAGGCAGAGTGAGAGAGCCACATGCTCACAGCACTCCTCTTTTGGCTGCTTCCATCTCCTGTGTCTTAATAGGCAACACTTGTCTCTGTTGCTTTTGGGGTGCAGGGAGAGGCCTCCAGTTTCTAGAACTTAACATTTGAAATGCATGTGATAAGTTACAAGGACACATGAAAAAAGTATGAGATCAATAATATAATCTCTCACATAACATAAGAAGATTATGGCATTAACATATTCCTCTGCAGAACTTCTAATATTAGCATACCTTTAAAATTACCACCACTAACAAAGAACAGACCCACCAGATGTGGATCTTCCTTAAAAAAAAAATCACCTGCTCATTTGTAGATCAAATATTCCTCCCTAAGTCAAGCCAATAAATCCGTTATGCTGCATCAGAAAAGTCCTGTGCTTGTGGTATTAATTTGGGTATAATATATGCACAAGCACACCCTGAATGCATGATAGTAATGTTGAAATAAATTCCAGGGTTTGTGGCTGTGCAGCTATATCTGCAGCCCTCTGCCCACAAATCTTCTTCTGGGATTACATCTATTATTGCAAAACTCCTCTTTTGCCCAAACACAGAATTTCTCAACCCAAAGTGGTGTTTTCTTGGGGCCCTGAGGCTGAATAATGTTCAGTGCTTCATTTGAGCACAAAATGTTTAAATGTGTGTATTGATATCAATTCCAAGTATGCAGAGGCACATTTTTCAAAGGACTCCAGCCAAGCTTTCTATCTTTGGGGACAGCTTCCTGTTAGTGCTGAATATTGGCTAATATTGGAGTCCCTGCACCTCTTTGTCAGCTGGCCTGTGCTGAAGGGAAAAGTCTAGCTACATTCCACACTTGTTCCACCAAAACAAAAATGACTTTTTACTGGGTGCCAGGGAGTTCAACCCCAGGTTTTAAATTCATCCCTCTGCAAAACATTGTCATGTTTTTTTGGGGCTTTCACAGGGCTGTAGAATGATTTGCCAATGAAATTACAGAATTAATGATCATATTTGTGAGTTTGTCTGGTACTAACAGCTCAAATCAGTGTCAGTCTGTTTCAGCTTCTTTTGTCTTGTTGATGTGCCAGTGGTGGCAGAAAGCTTTTCTCGTCAGTTTAAAGTCATCAGATGACTGACAGCCAACTCCTCAGCAAAACTTTTGAAAAGAAAAAAATCCAGAAGTTTCTGCTACAAAGGTTGTCACCAATGTCACAGTTGAAGTGAGAGGAGCACTGCACTTTTATGTGACTGCTTAAAAAACATGGGAAAAGAATTCCTGTTTGTAATGTTAACAAAACACAAAGTCTGGACTTGAGAAAAGGCAGGGGAAAACACATGAAATAAACACAAGAGAGGTGGCTATATAAAACCCAAATAATCTAGGATGCATTTGAAAGTGTATCTAGAAATTTCTGCATTGTTCAGGGAAAGACTGCAAAACGTACTACAGCAGGTGTTTCAGTGATGTTAATTTTATTTCTTCCCTAGAACATCAAAGGTGGTTTAAGACTTTGGAATAATTCTTAAAAAGCCAGCAGAAATATTCAGGTGCCCAAACAGATGTTTCTGGTACTATTTTAGATCCCCTGGAATATCAAGCTTGGCCTTTAGCTGCTGCAGGTACCTCCAGACAACACATGGAGAAGTCTGGACTATCTGAGATTTAAGATGGCCATAGACACAAGTCCTTAAGGCTTTGACTCCCAACCCCAGTGTTGTAATTGTTAACTCTTATGATAGAAGTTCTTCAAAAGCAGGAAATCTCTAACTTTTTCATCCTTTACAGCACTGAGCAGTGTTTTCAAATAAATACAAGCTTGTAGCTATGCAGGCTCAGGCCAGCTGGAAAACCTTGTGGGGGACCTGTTGTCCTGCTTTAAGAGCAATCCAAGTAAGAGAGGGCAATCCACGGGATAGGGAGACAGCTCTGAAGTGAGTTTGAGTTCCTGGTGGATCCCTGGACCTGTTCTGCAGCTGCTTTCAAGCAGGTGTTTTGGAATGCAGCCATGAAGGAGAGACATCATGGGGAGGACAAGCACGGACAGCACAGTGTCTCCTGCATCAGCAGATCAGCAAATTCCCTCTCTTATGGATTTTGACCAGGAAAACATACTGTGTGGTTCTGTAAATGCCTTTCTGAGGGATCCACAACATAATTTCTTTATTTTACTTTTATTCCTAACCAAGTTTAGGTGCTACATACACATGTCTGTGCCTGGCTTCTTCTGGTGCTGTCAGCTTTGGGAAGAGGACATCAAGCTCTTGATGCTGGGCTTTGCTGAGGTCTTTACACTGAGTAAGAGTCCTCCCAGCACCAGTAGGGCTGGTGTGCAAGGCTGGCACTGGCATGTCCCTGCTCCATCAGTTTTGTGCATTTTCCAGTCCTGTCACCTTTTTATCATGGCTGCCACTGAGGGAGTCACCTTGTAGGCTCCAGGCTCACATGAGATAAGTAATCTCTTCTGGAAGTCAGTGGGAGCCATTCTGCTGCCTCCAGAACAGGGCTTTCTGTCCTGTATGGGGAGAGTCAGGCTTATTCCCCAACAGCACTTAGAGAAAGAGAACTCAGCAGATGGTACTGACTGCACACCCATTATTTCCGAACTCTGATGGGAGGATGTCCCATCCCATACAGCAACTTTCACTTTGTTTGCAGGCTGTCTAAGAGATAACAGTGATGGAAAAAAAGGCTGATGGCTGCTTGGCACAGCTCAAATTTTAAGAACTTGGTTAAGGGAACTATGTATCAAACTGTTGTATACTTGTTCTTCATGTTCTTAGTCACTGTATTTACGTGAATACAAAAAGTACAACGTGGCTTGGCTTCTCCTTCTCACCCTCTTATCACAGCAGCCACAAGAGTTCCCAGAGCAAAATTGTTTGCTGCTATTTTGGAAGTGACACAGCTATAAAATTTTCATGCTCAATTATTGTCTTGGCAGGATGACAGTGTTTGCCTGCAGATTGCCTGGCAATTCTCTATTGTTCATTACTCAATAAAATCTGAGTGGAATCTCTTGATAGATACGCCTCTAACCCAAAGGCCTCAAATTTGGTTTTTATTCTGCCAAATTTTCTTATTGTATTATAAACAGCAGGAATGTTAGAATATCTCAAAAAGGTCACTGAAATCTTTTACAACAGGGAGTCTTAGACTTTCTGACTAAAATACTACCAGCTGCCTTAAAAAAAGGTTCCTCCTCATTTGTGCCTCGTGTTGTCTGGTATACTTCAATGCCGTAGGAAAACTGATTATAAAATGAAATTGAGAGTCTGATTTCAACCCACAAGAGCAGAGAAATTCAGTGCTTATGCTATTACTATTCAGAGCTAAAACTGCTCAAACTGATTATCCATGCTGGCATTTCAGCTTCAAAATTATCTTCCAAAAAGAAATGAGAAGCCCATTTTGTTCAGCACTATGTGCTGAACGCACTATTAGTCAGTGTGATGGCTTGGTCACACATAGCTTTAAGGGCATCTTTGAATGTTAGAAGAATGGAAGTTTGACTGCCAACCTGGGAATCTGTACACAGAAATAATAACCAACTTTTTAACTTTCTCTTTCCTCAAAGTGCATCACAGCCTGCAGCTCTCATGTGGTACATTGGCATGCACCTTGCAGTAACACCATCGCAGAGCAAAGGAAGGGCAGAGAACTGGCCACAGTGGTCAGCTGAGCTGTGAGAATTTCCATTGCACTGGAAAACTTGGAAGATGCCGTTTTGATAGCTCATAGAGTAACAAAGCTGGAACTGGGGTCAGCAGCTGACACTGTTCACTGTTTCTGATGAATTTGAATCTTGGCATTTGGTACAGTAGCTTTTTACAGCTTGCTTTCAGTGAAGGGGTTGAAGCTGCTGAGTTACATGCAATTAAATGTCTGCAATCCGAAAACATAACCTGTACATAATACTTGTATTTCTAATATTATGAGGAGCTATTAATTTTTAAGATCTAAGCTGTTTAAAATCTCCCAACAAAAATTCGAGTAAACAAGTGCTGTCTTCTGAGTAAAATAATTACAGAAGAAGGTGTTACAGAGTCATAAACCCATTTATCTTTAAAAGGTGGAAATATCTGTGCCTATGCTTTTTTCTGTAGGTCCTTTGATTTAGGCTAGTATAAAGCATTTTTTCCCATAAGTGCATCTATCTAGCTCCTTGTTAATTTTCCAAACCCTCATATTTTAATAAAAGAGGAAAAAAAAAAAACCCAATGCAACCAAATCTCTAGCTTCTCAGCTTGTAAAATAATCCTCATAAATATATCAACATAGTGTAACTGAAGGCGTATCTGTGTGTCTATAGAAAGGCTGGAGGAGCAAGAGATGAGCTGTTCCCCTTTTTAGATGTGTAGGTGTTGGATGTCTGATGACCATAACTGTAACAACACCATTGCCAATTACTTCAAAGAAGAATGATTAGGGACCATCACAGAGCTATGAAATTACTATATCTCACTGTTTTCTCTCACAAGAAAGGGGCAGGAACTTACATAGTTCTTGCATTTTTAATGGTCCTTCAATTTTGTGAAGGGCAGAGGGGAAGAGATCTCAGTCTCCTATCTCTATCACTTTCCAGTTCCCAAACTGCAGCAAAGTATGTCTTCCATCATGCCAGACTGAAGCGGGAGGATATACATATGTATGGGAAGAAGGTATCTCCCACACAGCAATCTCTCTCAGCAAGCAGCACAGAACAGCAGTGGATCAAGTCTGCAGTTAGTTCTGTTCTCAGACATATGTGAGAGAGATCACTGGAGAATCCAAGTCTTTCCTACTGATTTGCCTTCAGAAACAAAAGCTATTGCACAGAGAAAGAGAATATTCTGTTCCCCATAGCCATAACAGACAGCATGAGAAGCAACAGGTCTTACTTGCAGCAGGGGAATTTTGGAAAAGCAATCTGACAGCTATGCCCAGAAACTACCTGGATGTGTCAGGAAGGGGGGCATAGCCTGGGATGGAGTGGTGGACTGGATGAAGTCTCTTCCCAACTGTATTTTTGGTGATTCTCAGAAACCTTCTCTTCATTCCTCCACTACAAACTCAGTAATCCTTACAATGTACAGTATGATGTGGAACAGCATCTCCTAAAGCCATCTCTGCTGACTTTAGCTGCAGTTGCAGAAGGGGAAATAGAGTCTTGTCCAATTATCTTGATGTTGGTGTTGTGAAAATTTCCATAACATGTAATGAAGTCTGCTTGGTTAAGGGCCAGACGCTCCTTTGTCCTGACTTGAAGAGGAGAGGAGCAGAACTTGAGCTGAGTGCAGGGGAAAGAAGAGGGGAACAATGTCTCTGCAATGTGGTTTTGCAAAACTGCCACAGAATTGCTGTGTCTTGAGTCCTGGGGGACAGGGCTTGAGCAATGCAGTACAGTATATTCACCACAGAGTATAAAAAGCAAGATAAACAGCAAACACAGGACCACTGGGAGGGGCAAAGCACGGATCAGTTGTAGCATTTGTACTGCTGGGGGGTCTGTAGTACTGGGTCTGGTCCCACTTCTATTACTGGTGCCAAATGAGAGTACCAAGGGAATCACAGCAGCATGAAAACCATGCCTGCTGCCAGAGAAAAGGGCTTGCTGAATTCTCTGCAATGAAGTTTCATCTTTTTTGCTGGACTTAGATGTAAGAGTTACTAATGTGCAACTCAAATTCAGGGTTTGCTTGCGCTACTGCTAGTTCTTAAAAAGCATCTGTTTCAAATCCATTGGATTTAGGTCTTCTCAAATTATGTGATGCTTTCTGTGAGTGTAGTGGTCTCCTACTGCAGCATCTTCTGTAAGAGAAATTAACTCAGAATGGTGGCATTATAATGCTCATCACTTAATGCACCTGGACAAGCACACACCTCAACTGCTACTATGCCAACAGTTAAAAATCATCTTACGCTATTAAATTATCAGAAAAGAAACTTGGAGTGCTATTTACCTGCAAAGAGGTTCTACAAGGTCCTTGTCAAGAAAATCATGATCTTTCTTTACTGCAGCAATGTCAATGGGAAACTGGGAGTCTGTAAAAGGAGACACAATATTAAGATGGCTGCTTGCTACTCAAATGAAAATAAGTTGTCTACATTTAAATTGCTTTGCATGTGCTTGCTCACTGAAATCTAGTATAAGCAATTTCACTAGGCTCTGGTTCCCTTCCAGCTGTATTTGTGACCCTTTCAGACACCACATTGGGTTTTTTTCTGTTAAAGGTACAGCTGAATGTCCATTGCATTAGAGTGACAGCAAAACTATTTCATTTTGGCTTTAAAAAATACTCAACTATTAGCTGTTAATTTTAGGACCTTGCACAAATGGATGAGATCAGGGAATTACCACCACGCTTACTTTACATGAGCAACAAGGTTTTATCTTCTCATTACAGTGATTTAATGAGTTATTTGCTAGATAGACTTGCCAAAGCCCCAGAAATACTCTGTGCTTTTTGTTTTTAAAACAGATCCAAATAACAGTGATTTCAGACAGAGGGTTACTCAAATAACAGACAAAAAAAACCCAACTCTAAAACAGAATTATAATCCCCAATATTAGCTAAAAAGCCAGAATAGCATGCTGGAAGCTGACATTTGCAATGGAAAGCGACACAGCTCTAACAGTGGGATGGGTTCCAGTGCTGGGGCTGCTCTCCAGACTGCTCTGCCATCCTTAGGTACCTCAGCAGGATGCCAGGATACAGGAACTTCAGCCAGCATTTTTAGACACCGCTGCTCAACACTGACATAATAGATGCCTGTGAAAAGCACCTTGTTTTCAGGGATGTAGACTGTCTAGAGCACATATTGACTGCATGGGAACTGTTGGAGCCCAGCACAGGTTGTTTTTTGGAGAGAACATCCTTTTGTGTTAAGCAGGCAGCAGGCGCTCCTTTCCCTGGTGGAGTCAGTATGTGACATACTCCTAATACAAGGCAGACACAAAAGTACTGCTGGCTACCCAGGGACTGTGCTACATACACATTTGTGTCAGTTTTGGTCTGGCAGGCTTATTAGTCTTAGTTCCTTGCTGGATTTAACAGAGTCTGCCTGCTTCCTGTGGAGCCACCTGAGCATCTCTGAGTGGTGCTCCTGTCCCCAGACACCTGAGCAGCCCAACAGGACCCAGCACCTGAGCCCTGATGGAGCTCAGCTGGCCATGGGAGTGTCCTCAGCATCCCATGTCCTGCCATTCTCAGCCCCACGAGGGGAGGGATGGCATCCGAGCTGACTCCCTGCAGACTTGGCTCTGACCCATGAGGCTCCCTGGCCCTCATTCCATGAGTGAATCTGTGCTGCCTCCAGACTCATGCTGACCCTGGAAGGTGTCCAGAGGTGTTTGGCAGAGCTGCCTTTCAACTAATAAGCCCGAGTGGGCCTGAGCTGGGTGTCTCTGGCAGGGAAAACATGCACTTTGGGAAAACGAAGCTCAGTTTCCCTCTCAGCATTGAGCTGGGGAGAGCAGAAAAAACTCAGCTCCAGTCCCCAAACTACTGTGGAACACAGCAGCAGTGCAACTACTGGGTCTGCCCTCTGGAACACTCCTTCCCTGGGCATGAACTGAACACCTAGGAAGGGGACACCACCATTTGCACTGAGGTAGCACTGAACTATCAGCTTTTCTTACTTTGCAAATGTGAAGTGCAACTCAGATTATTAATTTTTGGTAACTCTGCAGAATTTTCAGTCTTACTTCCGTCATGATTGAAATTTTCAATAACTTCTAGTGTTTTAATCTTATTTCAGGCACGCTTCAGAAAGCTTTTAGAAAATAGACTCATGCTTTTACATACTTTGTAGTTGTTTTTGTTAACCTTTGAGGTTTACACAAGCTATGTTCCCCCACCCCCCCATTTTTTTTTAACTTCCCATGGTTACAAGGGTAAGAATCTTTTCTTTATGCACTAGTATGACTCCAGCAGCTGAGGCTTTGTGAAGCATCGAGCCATGGCCATAACTCAGTCAAATGTGGAGTTGGCTGACTGCAAGCTCTCCTGGCGAGGGCCCAGTGCACTTTCAGAACTGCACAGAGGAGAAAGACCTACTTACCCTCATAGAACTGAGCATATTGGGGAAATCCAGCTGCACGTAACCAGTCACACGCTTCCTTTGCTTCAATTTCTGAGCAAAAAGAGGAAAGAGAAAACAGTTTACACTTTGTTATTTTGAATTAGAAGTTCTTTCAATTACAAAGAAATAACAAAGAAATTTGGTAGGACCTATTTGCTGTGACAGTACTGTCATCACTCTGAATCACACTTTATAGCATCTAAAGAGAGTCCCTCTAATAAACCTGCCTGTCTCCATAGGACACTGGTGTGCACAAAGCCACTTGGTGGCTGGGACCAAGTGTTAGCCATCTTCTTGCAGCAGAAGTTGTTCAGCCAGGTTTGTGGCTTGGTGATCTACCTTCCCCCAAGGGTAAGTTGCTGGTAAGATATGAAGGTAGAGCAGGGTGAAATGGGGTGACAGGGAGCAGGCACTGTGTTCTTTCCTGTTCTGACATTTCTTACGGAGCAGAATGCAACATGAAATCCAAGGAAATCTCTGCCAGGAAAACCCCGGTGCAGGTTTCATGATACTGAAGGGACAATTGCAGGGGCATCTCCATTTTTACCAAGCTCCATGGGCTCACATTCTGGAAAGCATCATGCTGGGTCCAGCTCTGCCCAGCACCTGTACTGCCTGCATGTGCAGCTGCTCCCAGACCAGCTGAGGGAATAGGTGAAAACAGAGGCTCATCCACACAAATGTGGGTTTCAGAGCAAACCTGGGAAACACCTCTTTGCTGTCCAAACCTAGATCAGGATCTACCACTTGAACAGTTTTGGTTTACAGGATCAAAGTCAAAGCACATATCTGTATCTCTTGCATTTGCAAAACACAAAGAAACACGGCATGCAGGTGTTGAAGAAAACAGATATTTTATGTTACATACTAATCAACCTGAATGAACCAGTCAAGAGTTTTGGCACATTTGTGGTTGTAAAATCTAGACAGCCATAAAACAAAACCCTAACTATAAAGCAAACAATGGAACTGGAAGAAGATGATCAGGCTCAGTTGCTCTTCTGCATATTTTGCCTTGCATGTGAAAAAAAAAATCCAGTTGTAAATCACTTTTCTACTAAAATGCATTTTTATAGGTAAGGTATGCTGTCGTGAACTTTTGCCCATGTAATTCTGTTCAGATCACTCATCATTCCCTTAATGACTTTACCCACTGAAGCTCACTATAAAATCTGCTTTGAATATACTCTGCAGTGTGTGACCTGCACACCTTTCTGATCCCCAAAATATGAATCACACCAGCAAATTTTGTAGCAGAAATCAAAATTCAGAATGCAAGGTCTATGTATCCAAAGTTCAATATCCCAAAGACGATTAGACAGCCAAGAACAGCAACACAATGGTCACAATCATTAGCAGTGCTGAAAAGGATTTACCACCAGGTCTTCATTTGCTTTGACATTAGTTCATGTCAAGGCCAAAAAATGGAGTATGAAAGTACATTCAGTTCTTAACAGTGCACAAAAGAATAAGCAGCTTACATAAAACGTGGCTCTCACTACAGCACATCTGTGCTGAAAGCACATCTCTATTATGTTCCAGTTTGACTCTTTCTATTAAATGCTTGGAAAAAAGACAAGTCTTTATACTTTTTTTCTTTTGCTTAATTCAATCTCATGAAACACAGACAAATCAATCCCATTTCAAAATGTATTTTACAACTCAGAACAGCTGTACGTACATTCTAGCTTCATCTGGCTTGGAAACACAACTGACAGAGGCTGTGGGTGATGGAGAATGCTACCATTTAATGCTCTTATACGCTTATCATATTTCAATGTTTTTTTGCAGTTGGCTGCTCAGAGGAGCTTGCTAAGAAATATTCTTGCAACCCAAACAAGATCTAAAAAATCTCAAGTTGCAATGGGTGAGTAATTATGGGGAATAACTAAGAAAGTAGATCCCACTCTTCTCTGAGGTTTTGTTTTTAGTTTTTTTGTGGTGTTTTTGGTTTGGTGAGGTCGTTCTCAACACACTGTATTCAGTCAAATATCACTGATTGATTAACTTCTGCCTTCAAAACTTTGTGTCTTCCATGAAGGCATTTCTGGGGAGTATTTTATTTTCTGAATGACTACCTCAGCCTTGAGTAAGATTTGCTAATCTTCCAGGATACTGAGTTTTAAGACAAGTATCAGTTCCCAGTTCCCTCCCATATCTCTCTTTCTGGTCTTATTCAGAGTACAGCAGGAAGTATAGAAGTCACCAGGCTGCTGGCACAGTCCAAAACATGCCTTTGCTCATACAAGTGTGTTCCTGCTGGCTAAGGGCATCTGTTCCAGTCATTCCACTCTTGGTCCCTCCTACAGTTTAGGTGAAAAGGCACAACAAAGGATTCGCTCCTCAGCAGACATCAAAGGTGATTTATACTATTTTGCCGTGGGCATGTAATCCAAGTTATAGTTCAGAATGCAATATAGATGCTTTTATTACTGCATACTGCAATGTTTGAACAATAATTTGACAGGCTAAGTTTAACCTTCTCGTTTTGTGTGCATATCCTAATATTTGCTTTTTCTTACTTCATAGTGAAACATTAGTGAGGACTTTGGGAGGAGATGTGCAGCACCAAAAATACCTCAGTGGCTCTGTCAATGGAGGGTGGCAGAAATACTTTTAGCAGCGTTGTCCCAGTTCTGTTCCCACGTCCAGGCTAATACAGGGGTTTGATTCTGCCTGCAGCAGATGGTGTCTTGGTGCAACACTGAAGGACTTGGAAACCCATGTGTGTTCACAGGTGGCACCAAAGCTTTTTGTCAACAGCACAGAGAAGAGCTGTCATGGTGAGAAGAGCAATTTCAGAGAAGACATGGCTCAAGGCTGGCAGGAGGCACAGTTCCTCCAGCTCCTACCAGAAGCACGTGAGCCACCACTGACCCACAAGCAGCATCTCCCTTGGCAGGACCAAAAAAGCTGCTTGCCCCAGCACACCTGATGGTGGGTTTGTCCTTATGCACTACTGTTCCTTCTGCTCTGTGGCTGGAAAAAAATGCCAACTGCTTTCCACCTGCTTGGGCAGCAATTAAAAACAATCATTAATTATTAAGACTAGATAATAATTCAGTCCCAAATATTGGCAACTGTCAGTATGTCTCACAGGACTAGAATTCTAAGGAGTTTTTTCAGTTTCTAGTTGAAGCTTGGAAGAAAACAAATTTCTCTTTTCCATTTCATTTTTCTACTGGTAGTGAGTTATAATTCAGAGAAAAATGAGGAGAGAGGTTCACTCAGGAAATGTGACAAGTATTCAGGGCACAGCTGGGTCTTGGCTTTGAGTCCATCTTCAATATTAAACAGGTTTGATCTTGTCTCCCACAAAGTGGGTGGCTCTGGCTGTTCTGGGGCTGAAATGGAGACAGTTGTTTGCCATCTCTTCTGCTCTTCCAACACTTTCTCTGATTCTTCACAAACTGATTTGTTTCTGCTCAACACCAGACAGTATAGCAGCCAGCTGCCACTGAAGGGGACATCCTTGCCCTGCCTATCCAACGCCAGCTGGCTGCTTCTCCTGCTTCCCTTTGTGCCACACCAGCTCCTGGCTAACCCTTAGAGACCCAGCTCAACCCCCATAGCTGGTAGAAAACTAACCCTCCAAAAGTAGGAATGGTCTACTGTTGGATTAGCAAACTGACTCAAATCCTCTAAGGGTTCTGTTTAATCTACATTAACTGGATTTTAACAAGCTCAAGAAAGCCAAACCAATGGAATAGTCCTTCCTGCATGAAAGAGCACAGGAGAATTAAAAAGCCTAAATAGTCTAAAAAGTTGTTTAGTGAAAAGCTCTGCCAGGAGAAACTCATGTAAATAATTTCATTTTCTGGCTTGGAATCTTATCACCATCTACAAATATCAGTGCTAAGATCTAGTTACTATAGTCCTTTCCTTTTACCTGTCTAGATATCAGTATTTCATCTTATTTCTGCCTTTCTGCCATTGTCTCTTCTGTCTTCTGTTTTGGTGTTTCTCTCCTTTTTTTAAACTACATTTTTATTTAAAATGCAGATGTCTCTTTGCACAGTGCAGTGGAAGATTCAGCAACTAGAATAAATAAGGTACATCATTATCCCATCTATTGTGTTTATGTCAACTTTATGTGAAACCTTTATTGTTTACCTTCTGTAACAAATCACTGTTAATGTTCACTTTAGTATCCCTCCTGTATTGCTCTCCACTTAAATCTAATTTACAATATTCAGATAAAATATCTAGGAATGTTAGAGAAAATGATTAATCAATTAATTGGAAAGAAGTGCATTTGACTGTGGAGTCACATCAGTGAGCAAGTGGTTATTCTGGTTACATCAACTGTTGGTCCTTTCTTACTCTTTCCTGCAAGAAGAGGAAAACTGTTGGGATGACTTTGTGCTGTATCTTCCAGAACAAAATTCTAGCCTACCTGGCATTCCAGGGTCAGTTTGGAGGCTCAGCTCAACCCAGAGTGGTAAAATGCCTTTTCCTCTCAAGAACTGCTGCAAACCTCCATGAAAGGTAAACCAGAGAATATTCCTAGGGTGAAAACACTAATGGTGTCTTAGACCTGAGGCATGCTCCAGGCAGCTGTAGCCACTCAAACTGCCTTGTCTCACAGGTCCTGGTACAACCCTTGCAATGTCACCACCCCGATGTCTTCCCAGAAGAGCACTCTTGAGGAAAGATGATTTCTTTGGAAAAATTCAGTTCAGGCTGAAGCTGTATGAGAACAGCTCTAGCATGTTTCAGCTTCTTGCAGCTCAGTCTGAGATACTGCAATGGCTGCCATTACTCCCTGGCCCTATATCTCACAGTCTTCAGGATATTTATCTGTTTTACTCTTCTTATTTTACAGATGGGGATTTACAGCACTTCAGAAGTACATAAGCAGGTTAGAGGTAAGGCTGATGGGAATTAGATGCCTGACACTTATCTGGCCATAAAAATAGGGTTATGCCACTCCTCAGTAACCCTTAGCTGTCTCATCCGGACAATCCAAATCCCAAATTTCTGATACTTAAATGCATCACTCTACCATCCTTCTGCTATGATGTACCACTAAAGGCTGACAGGTTTCCACT